TGCTGATTGATTTGGGGGGGGGGGGGGGTTCAACTGATAATTTTTTTAAAATCAAATCAACGAAAAATCTATATTTCCTATTTTAGAGCAGTTAAATCAATTATGTGTGTTTAACCCACTTAAAAAGAATGCTTTAGCAATGACAGAGCAAAATCAATGACTGCCTTAAACTAACTTAAAGTTTGAAGTTTAATCATTTTAAAGCGACCCGATCCGACTTTAATACTCCCTGGGGATTTATTTTCAGCCAAGATCGCTGGTTACATTTAAATTAAGACGGCTGTAACGATAATTTGAAAATCTAATTTACAAATCATACAAAGTATAAAAAGAATGCAATTTATTAAACCAGAAGCATCCTGAAATGATAGTCATTAGTATAAGCAACTAACTTGAATATAATATGTTTCATTAAAATGTAAAAGTACTTTAAGGGTCTAGTTTTGTGCGAGTTTTAACGCCGGGCTAATGATGGGCCATCTAACTGATAAGGGTTTCATCTACAAGATCTATTCAATCCAATTTATTCGGTTTCAAAATTCCTAGGCGCAGGTTAAGATTTAACTTCACCTCTTATATTTATGTGGGTTTTTTTTTTCTTAAAAATATCATGTGTATCTGGATTATTGCATTCATCAACTGCTAGAATGGTATACTGGGGTACTCATGTATCTTTAGGATTAGTGTTTAAGCTCATACAAGACAATCCAGCCAGTGGTTCTCAAAGTGGTCGGTATTGACGGGGGGGGNTTAGGGGGAGTTGGGTCTCCAAAAAGGGGACCGCTGGTGAGCTATTCTTTTCTTTTTTTTCTTTTTTTTAAATTTAAGTTTAAATTATATTTTTCAACACAAAAAAAAAAAAAAAAACTATTTTGATTGTTGTTGCCGAATATGAGTAGAGGAAGGACATCCAATAATATTTTAGTTCAAACACAACAAAGACAAAAGGGCTTTCATCTAACCTACGGCACATTTATCGATGATCAACACCAACATATTTTTACTTAGCTCAGCAGTATCACCTGACAACAGCACTCAATTCTGCTAACTGTTAACTTGACAGATGAAGCGGTAGACTGTCAAGTGTGTTATGCATAACGTTTTACACGATTTCCCCGTGCGTGAACTTTGCTTGACCTTAAATTAGATTATTAAGCAGACGCTCGCTTCATAGATAGGCAGGGCTAGTTCTTTTGATCTGTCATGTTTACCAATTTAACATGGTTAGACTGTCTCTTAGTATCTTGTCGAATGATCTCGATTTGTTCTAGAAATGTAAACAAATGCTGAGTAGCTTCTGGAAGGCAGGGCT